GAGATGAGGGAAGTTTTCTTGAATAATTTCATGGGATGTTTGTTCCAGGGTGGCCTCTGTTTCTCTTCCTGCCTCAGGAAGTCCAATTACTCTTAGGTTCAGCTTCTTGAAGTAATTGCTCATCTCTTGAAGATTTTGTTCTGTCTTTTTAAGTTTCTTTTCTATGTTTTGACAGTTTGGGTTAGTTCTATATTTTGGTCCTCAAGCTCTGAGATTTTTTCTTCTGCTTGGCTAATTCTGCTTTCCATGCTTATCAGTTTGTTATTTATTTCATTCACAGTATTCTTTACTGCTGTTATCTGTTATCAAGTTCTTCCTATTTTCCTCTTGTCTCTCCTCAATTCTTTTTAATCTCTCTATTAATGTCTTGATATCTGGGTTTGTAGCTTGAGACTAGTCAATCTAGGGGCTCTTCATTGTTTGCATTCCAAAATCTGTTTTCTCAGTGTCTGACCTTCCAGGGGTCTGTGAGAGACCCATATTCTTCTTTTGGTTTTTCTTCACTTGTGTAGATCCCCCCCAATTTCCCCCCCCTTCTTTAATTCTGTTTTTCAGGGATGATGGGGTTGCTTTTACTTCTTTTTGCTCAGTCTCCTATTCTTCCCTATGTGGATCCTCTGACTTTGTTCACTTCTGAAGCTGGACTGTTGGTTGGGGACTGTACTTTTCACAGTTTTGAGATTTAGTTGAAGGGGGAGCTGTAATTCATAATCTATCTGCCAATCCCAGTATCCACCGACAGGTGTATGGGCACCCTGGAACCCACTTCTCATTGTCCATGCAGTGGGGGTTTAGGTTTGCTCCCTGGAACAAAATGAGGTAAGAAAAAGGAAAATGGAGCCAGGCTCGGTGGCTCAGCCTGTAATCCCACGCCTTTGGGAGGCTGAGGTGAGGGGATTGCCTGAGCCCGTGGGTTCAAGACCCGCCTGGGCAGTGAGACCTCATCTCTACAATAAATCAAAAAATCAGCCAGGCGTGGTAGCGCATGCCTGTAAGTCCAGTTACTTGGAAGGCTGAGGCAGAAGGATCGCCGGAGCCCAGCAGGTCGAGGCTGCGGTGGCCGGCAGCGGCCACTGCACTCCAGTCTGGGTGACAGAGTGAGACTCCAACTCAAAAAAAAAAAAAGAAAAGAAAAAGGAAAATGATGGAAGAAGGGGGAGGGTCAAAAGAAAGGTGGTGAGAGAAAAGTAATGGGAGAAATAGAGGGACATACCAGATAACAAATGAAAAGAGACACAAAGACAGAAAAGAGAAAAAACGAAAACAAAAACAAAAAAACCCTAGAGCATACAGGTCACATAAGACATAGTCCAGCAAAATCCTGTCTGTTGATATAGTCTTCCCCTACCCAAACAGGGGGTCTAAAGGATAGAAAGAAGAAAGAAAAAATTAGTAAAATAACAATAGCAAAGCAAGTATGAAAATGTTATCAAAACCTGAGTGAAAGAGGGAAAAAAACTAAAACAAAAAGCAAATGAAAGTGAGCAAAACAAATAGTCAAAAATAAAAAATAAAAACAAGACATCAGACTGGTTCTGAGGTACTTCCTGTATGTGCCTTCAGAGTCCCTGCAGCTCCGATATCTAGCCCCTCCCCTCTGCTCTCATCGCAAGCAGATAGGGTTATTCATAGTTTGGGTCAGTTGCCACAGGCCTACTTTGGGAGAGTTGTGAGTTAGATCTGAGTTCACTCGGCTTGCTACCTGTCAGGTCTGCCACACAGATCTGAGTTGTCTGTGTCTGATTCAGCCTGAGGGGACATCTTCTCTCCCAGTTTGATGAGATTACCTTAGGCAACAAGTTGGAGGCTGTGGAGAGCTGGGTGGGGCAATGCAAATCTCTGCCTGGCCCTGGGTCAAAGGAAATGACTGTGGTGGGCAGCTCCTCGCCAGGCATGGACCCCTCTCTGACTTTCCCAATCTTCTCTCTCCACTGATCAGATCAAGGGCTCCAGCTGATTCGTTATGACTGGTGATGGTATGGGCCAGGCACTAGGTGATGGGAATCAGTTAGATTCAGCAGGCTTTTCTCAGGTGCATTCCGGGCACAGCAGACGATCCTTGCGCAACCTTGCCAGTCATGCTCCAATCTCAGGATGGAGGGGGCTTGCAGTTGCCCTCAGTGGGGGACCCGGGTGCATGCATCCAAGTATGCCTTCAGATGGACTTTCACGATCCTACCAGCACCTGCCCACTCATTCAGAGAGTCTTTATGAACACTTGCCTCCACGGAGACTCAGTTGGACGCCATCTTAAGCTCCGCCTATATCCACATTCTAATTCTAATATGGGGAAATTGAGACTCAGTATAGGGAATTGGGTCACCCAAAATCACACAATCTTGAAATAGCACCTCAGTTTAGGGGTCTTTACTCTGTATTTGGTGGTTTTCAGACAGAACCTCAAATCCTTCCCACTCTTCTACAGAATCCCTGATTATCACCATTTTATAGATGAGGAAACTGGGGCTGAAAGAATTGAAGGTACTGTCTCCTCATCCTCACAAGGACAGTGGCATTTCCTGTGTTCTCCCCCACACCCCCTCTCCAAAGTTTCGTGTCCATCAACAGAGCAAGGGCCCTAAGATTCATTATCCCTAGCACTGACCCACCTCCCTTTCCCTGGAGGGTCTCGATTTCATGCAGTTCTCGAGAAGCTGCCCTCCTGGGTACCAAGGCCTGGCTACACCATAGCCATAAACGGAAGACAGGGTTCCTAGCAGCCCAAAGGCAGAGTGTAAACTTGTGCTCACACAGGCCCAAGGCTGCTCTGGGAAATGCCTTGTCTGTCCATCCTCCTCCCAAGCACCATGATGGTGGGTACGGGGTCTGCTGGGCTGCAAGAAGCCCGACTTCTCTGTCCACACAGGCAGCAAGGAGAAACAGCACAATACGGGGGAGGGTCAAGTATTCTGTGTGTGCTGAAGACACATCCTTCAGGATGGGTTGCACATACCAGGTCTTCAGGATCTCTCTGAGGGTGTGTGAAGCCAGCCTCTCCTGCCCACAGGACCCTTCCGCTTGTTTTAGTACTTATTGCTGTAGAATTGAAATTGCAAGAGTTTAGAATAAGCAGCTTGAAGCATTTCTCACACCGTGATGCACAGATGGGTGTAGCAGAGACAGGGGCTGAGTGAGGCTGGTGGGGTTCAAACTTTGGCTCCCCAGCCAGCTCTCAAGGCAGGTCCCCTCTGAGCCTCAGTGTCCTCATCTGTAAAAGGGGCAGCGAATGGCCCCTCTCCTATAGCACTGGTTATAAGGAGAATCCGGCCCAGCTGCCACCCCTGGCCCCCTCCCTGCCACCCTCTATCTCATCTGGGGCATCAATTAGGCCAACGGCAGGGCTAGGAGGAATAAGCACGCTACTAGGAGTTCGTAGATCTGAGTCACACCTGAACTACTTACAGGTAGTCTGGTCATGGGACATGACATCTGGAACTTCAGAGCCTTTGTAATATCTGTAAAATCAGGATAAAGCCACCTTCCCTGCCTATGTTCAGGGATTTGGGGGGGACTTGATTGCCTTATCTGATGTCATAGACAAGGACGAAATTAGGAGGAATTAGGCAAAATCCACATAATTTAAAACACACAACCCATCTGATGCAGAAAATGCCTCGAACAGAGTGTGACTCCCACCTGAGGAGGATGATGTGTGTGCAAGGTCATCCATGGTGGGATTGTCTGATAGCTCAAGGTTGGGGACAACTTACATCTCCAGCCACAGGAATATTTCCATTAATGGCATATTCCACAGCTGCTCAACAATGGAGCAGCTCTCTAGGTCCTGACGTGGAATCTCCATATGACATGATGGGGCTTAGGTTTGGGAGAGGTCTTCCAGTCACCAATGAGCCTCATGGTCTGAATGGGAGAGACATTCTGAACCTTTGGGAAACTGATGAAGAGGAAGAGTGCCGGTTCCAACTCAGTGGTTCCTACTAAGGAACTTTTATTCAGCACCTATGATGTACCAGGTGCATCTATGGACACAGTGTCTAACACCAGGGCAGGAAAGAGCCTCTGAGGAATGGGATCAAGGCTTGGTCTGGGTGCAGTCATTAACTAACTGAGCCTGTGATTTTGGGCAAGGCCCTTGTCATCTCTTGGCCTCAGGCTCCCATCTGTTAACATCATCTGTGCTAATGTTCCAGGCAGGAGTTTTAACTAGGATCCTGGGTCTCTGGCAGGAAATCTAAAATGAGCATCCTTGCTGCCTCCATTAGGGAATCCCAAAGTTATAAATATTAGAGACCTCATTCCCAAGGTTAGGGACATTCTACGATGTTATAACTTTGCTCAGAGCCTTCAGTGACATCATGATCAGTCTCTGTATTACACCTTTTCCCAAACCGACCCACAACATCAATCTTTTTTGGAGTCTCCTCCCACCAGGGCCATTAGAGTCAACAGAGAATCTGTGCCTGTCAGAAATCTTCTTAGGGTAATGGTTTTAAAGATAAAATTTAAAAACACAACTCTCCCTCCTCCCTACCCTGGATGAATCTCTCCTGATTGGAACAGAAGGAAATGTAAGCTTGGTGAGAGAAGAATTTTTTCCTGTTTGTTCACTGCTGTATTCTTGAAGTCCAGGGCCGAGCCTGGCACACCGCAAGTTCTCATAGTGCCTGCTGAATAGAGAGAAACTCAGCCACTCTGAGTGGAGACGCTCTCTGGAGGCAGTAGGAGGGCTGGCCTGTGCCCGGGCAGGTCACTCAATCTGTCAGTTCCCTCATCTGGGCTGGGCCAGATGGGGGAAGGCAAGAGCTGTGGAACCAGGCAGACCAGGTGCAGACTGTCTCCACCATCTAGGAGCAGTGGAGCCCTGGGTGAATAGCATGAAATCTCCTGCTTCATCTTTCCTGATCTGCGGGAGGGGGTGACATCAGATCATGACAGTGACCAGCCATCACCACACCTGATTGTTGCTCAAAGCACGGAGGGTGTTCTTATCAACTTCTTGTCATTCACCAGGGACTGAAGGAGGCCCACGCTGCACTCACCACTCACAGACACCTCGGTGCCTGGTCCAGACTTGATCTCCACAGTGTCAGGATCTCCTCTCTGGAACTTGACACAGAAGTAGGTGCCGGCGTCTGCTGGGGTGATGTTACTGATGCGGATGGAAAAGTCCGTGTTGTTTCTCTTTGTGAGGTCTGAAACAGTTGATACCCTGGCGACATGGGTTCCTTTTTGTTCAAAGATTAATTCCCGGTCTTGTCCAGCTCCTTTGAACCACTTGATGGGCCCCACAGGGAGCAGGGAGGTCACCGTGCAGTGCAGAGTGGCCGACTCTCCAGCTGCGACCGACACGGACTTGTCAGGCTGAATCACCTGCAGCTTCTCCTCACCTGCCACCCCTGGAGGGAAACACAAAGCTGTCATTTATTCATCCTTATGTCATCCCGTGTGTTTTCTCATGTGTTTGTCAATGACTTTTATTGATTGGATGCACACCAGGAGCGGGCCTTCAGCTCAGTACACTGTGTGTTATCTCATTTGACCCTCACAGGAAGCCTGTAGTATGAGACTACATTACAAATGAAGAAACTGAGGGACAGAGTGGGTCAGTTTCACAAAAAAAATGGCTATGAATATGTGACTGGAGCTCCTGAACCCTCCTTGGAAGTGTCATGCTTCATCAGTTTTTGTGACTACTCTGGACGCATGGAGTGTTGCACTTTCTGGACCATTGCATGGGTGGGGCTGTAATTCCAGGAGACTCTGTGGATCACCTTCTCCCTTCCACAGAGAACCACAGGCTCTGATGGGGTCTGCTTCATCGGCCTGGATTCCTGAGTGACAGTGACATGCAGAACTCTCAACATACAATGAACACAAATTAGAAACACAACCTTGTTTTAAGCCCCTGAGAATTTTTTCTCCACAACACAATTACATGACATTAGTTTCCTAACACTGATGTGATGTATCTCCACTGCTTAATGTCTTAAAATTAATAAAAATTATCATCTTACATTTCTGAAATTCAGTCATCCAAAGTGGTCTTACTGGGGTACAGTCAAGAAGAAAGGGGGAAAAAGGTCAAATGCACAAAGATTGAGAATAAAATGGTAGTGACTGGGGTGAATTGTGGGAAGGAGATGAACTCATGCAGGTCAAAAGATCTAAAACTGTAGACAAGTAGGATGAAGTCCAGAGATCTAAAGTTAATAGAGTTGTCTTACATCCACTATTTTGACTTAAAGAGGATATTTTACATGCTCTTGACACTCATATATAAGGGTAACTGTGTGAGATGATGGTTATGCTCATTTACTTGACTGCAATTACCATTTCACTATGTATATTATATGAAAGCATCAGGTTTTGCACTTTTTTATGACCTGTGGTTCTTGTCTTGGAAGCCAAATCTGAAAATACTTCTTTTTAAAATAATTTGTTTATTTATTATAGAGTTGTGGGGTACAAGTGAGGATTTACTACCTAAGTAGGCTGCATACAGGTGAAGCTTGGGCTTCTGGGTGCCCTCACTCCCCCTGTTAGTAGACCAGGTACCCTTGTGCTGCTTCACGCCCTCCACCCTCCTTCTTCCCTCCCTTAGTAGTGCCCGGCAACTGCCAATCCCACGCTTGTGCACTTTATATATAGATAACTTTTTAAATGGTGTCAGCAGAGCAATGCGTCTTCTGTAGGTTATGTCCCTTGCCTTTCCAGATTCTAGAGGCTATGCACATTTCTTTTCTTATGATTCCATCTTCCTGTCACTTTGACCTCCTGCTTCTATTGTCACATGTCCTTCTGTAACTCTTAGTCTCTTGCCTCCTTATTATAGGGGCCCTTGTGATTAACTGAGCCCACCTGGATACTAAACCACTGTTGTAAACACGCTCAAAGATCTGTAGGAAGAGCAATAGATAAAGAGCTAAGAAACCTCAGAATATGATGTAGTAATAAAATAAGATCATCAACAGAGATAATTTTTTAAAACTAGCAGTTAAGGAGTTGAAGGTACAAACACCCCACTTGTGAAGAAAATTCCCAAAGAGGAGTTCCCCAACAGGTACAAGCAGGCAGAAAAAAGAATCAGAAAACTGGAAAGTGCAATAACTGAAATTACTGAGACTGACATATAGAAAGAAAAAGGAATAAAGAAAAGAAAACAGAATCTAAAGGAATTGTGCAACATTATCAAATGAATAAACATAGACATTATTAGGCTTCCAAGAAAAAAAAAAGGAAGAGAAAGAGGAGCAGAAGAGTGTTGGAAGAAATAGCGACCCAAGTCTTCCTATGCTTTACAAAATACATGAATCTACTAATTTAAGATGGTGAAGAAATGAAAGTTAAACTCAAGGATAGATTCAAAAAGACCTACACTAAGACACAATATACTCCAACTACCAAAACTGAAGTCAAAGAAAAAATCCTGAGAGCAGCAAGAGAGAAGTGATTTCTCACATGCAGAGATCCTCAGTAAGATTATCAACTGCATTCTTAATGAAAGCGTTGGAGGTCAGAAGACAGAGGGATAAACATTTTTAATGCTGAAAGAGGAAAAACCTGTCAACCAAGATTTCTGAACCTAGCAAAACTGTCCATCAAGCATAAGGGAGAAATAGAGATATTCTTTTTTTAAAAAAATGTATTTTATTTTAAAGATGTGGGGATTCAGGATTAGGTATACAAGTGACCATTGTTCAGATAAAGCTTGGGCCTACCTTTGGTCCCCACTTTGCCCAGGTTGAGATCAGGTGCCCTTATTAATGTTATGTACCCGCCCCCCATCTCCTGGCAATTTCTGGCTACTGCCAATCCCTTTCTTATTGTATTATAGTAAATTTTCAGGGTCCACTTATGAGTGGTACTCATGGTACTCTGTTCTTTGTTTCTGTGAGAAATCACTGAGTGTTAGACTCTAAATCCATTCAAGTTTCTGTGAAGTTCTTCTTTTGTTCTTCTTTATCGCTGCATAATATTTTATCGTGTCAAAAAGTGTATGCCACACTTTTTTTATCCAGTCCAGTTTTGATGGGCAGCACAGTTGGTTCCATGTTTTTGCTGTTGTAAATAGTGCTGCAATAAACATGCGTGTGCAGGTATCTTTTTTGTGGCGTGATTTCGGTTCCTCTGGGTATATTCTCAGAAGGGGGATTGCTGGATTTTATGGATGATCAATTTGTAATTCTTCTAGGAATCCCCACACTGCTTTCCCTAGAGAATAAACTGGTTTGCATTCCCACCAACAGTGTAGAAGGACTCCCTTTTCTCTGCATCCTTGCCTGCATCTGTTTTTGTGGTTTTTTGCTTTTTTAATGATGGCCATTCTTACTGGAGTTAGGTGGTATCTCAATGTGGTTTTGATTTGATTTGCATTTCTCTGATGATTAGTGAGGCTGAGAAATTTTTCAAGTGTCTGTTGGCTGCTCATATGGCTTCTTTTGAGAAGTTTCTATTCATATCTTTTGCCCACTTTTTAATGGGGCTGTTTTTTTTTGTTTGTTGGTTGGTTGGTTTTTTGGGGGGCACGTTTGATTGCCTTGTGGATCCTGGATGTTAGGACTTTGTCAGATACGCAGTTGGCAAATATTTTTCCCCATTCTATGGGCTGCCTCCCCACTTTCTTGAAGGTTCCTTTTAAAAAATTAGATAGTGACTGAAGGACAGCAAAAACCAAACACCATGTGCATTTCATGTAGACTAAAAAACAAGTTGAAGAGAATAGTAAGGGGAGCCTTTTAAAAATCCGAGTGTGAAGTGCTATACAACATTTAATAGTACAATGCAACCTGGTCTGAGGATGTCCCACACTGGTCAAGGGATTACCTGATCTCTGTGACAGTGGGACCTAAAAACCCTGGTTGTCTTAGAGATAAAACCACCTTAGTACAGAGGCAAACTTCTAAACTTTAAAACAAAACTGACATTTACAAGAATAGTTTAAATTTCTTTTATGAAAGAGTATCTGGTATTTGCCCAGACATAATACAGGTATAAAAAAGGAAGGTGATAACTCCAGTCAGAATGGCAATTATCAACAACTCAAAAAATAACAGCTGCTGGAGAGGGTGTGGTGAAAAGGGAACACTTCTACACTGTTGGTGGGAGTGTAAACTAGTGTAACCTCTGTGGAAAGCAGTGTGGCGATTCCTAAAAGCTCTAAATATCAACCTCCCATATGACCCTGCAATCCCCCTACTGGGAATACACCCTGAAGAACTCAAATCACTCTATAAAAAAGATACCTGCACATGTATGCTTATCGCAGCATTGTTCACAATAGTAAGAACCTGGAAACAACCATGCTGCCCATCAAAAGAGGACTGGATTTAAAAAATGTGGTACATATACACGATGGAATACTACACAGCCATAAAAAAGAGCAAAATCATGAATTTCGCAGCAACCTGGATGGAACTGGAGTCTATAATACTGAGTGACCTCTTACAGAAACAAAGATCCGAGTACACATATTCTCACTCATATAGTGGACCTTGAACATCCAACGTAATACTATAAGAAAATGACTGACGGTGGTGGGAAACTATGGCGGGGGGAGATGGGATTAACGGTAGTGAATATCTGTCTGGGGACGGGGAGACACCTCTTATCAACAAGGGTGCCTGAACAACGCATATTTGTATACCTAACCCTTAACTGTACCCCACGAAATCATAATAAAAATATTGATAAAAAAAAAGGAAAGTGAGATACGGTAACTCTGAAAATAGACTCCAAATGAACCCCCCCCAAAAAAAAATCCTGCGTGTGTTTCAACATGGTCCAGTGAGATTCATCCGAAGAATGCAAGGATGTTTCAACACATGTAAATCTATAAATGTGATACACTATGTCAATAGGATGAAGGATAAAGACCATGTGACATCTCATCAGAGGAAAACAAGCATCTGATGAAATTCAACATTTTTGTAATGTTAAAATCTCTCTGGAGGGTAGGTATGGAATGAATAGTCCTCAGCACAATAAAGGCCATTAGGGCAAATTCACAGCTAACATTACGCCCAATGGTGAAAAGTTAAGAACTTTTCTCTAAGATCAGGAACAGGACAAGTATGCTCACTCTCAATAATTCTATTCAATGTGATATAAGAAGTTCCAGTCATAGCAATTAGTCAAGAGAAAGATATAAAAGACATCCCATTTGGAAGTGGGTTAAATTGTTCCTGTTTGCAAATGACACCGACTTATATATGGAAAATCCTAAAATCTCCACCAAAAAACTGTTAGAACCAATAAGCAAATGGAGTAAAATTGTAAGATACAAACTCAACATGCAACCCTCAGTAACATTTCCATACACTTATAACAAGTTATTGGAAAAATAAACAAAGATAACAAACCCATTTTCAATTGCTACAAAAGAAATCCTAAAAATACCTAGGAATAAATTTAATCAGGGAGGTTAAAAACCTGTACAATGAAAACTAGAAAACACTGAAGGAAGAAATAGAAACACATAAAAGAGACATATTTGCACTCATGGATTAGAGAATGAATATTGTTAACGTACATACTGCCCAGAGATCTACAGGTCCAATTAACCCTCATCAAAATTTTAATAACATTGTTCACAAAAGAATCCTCAAATTCATACCAATCATAGAAAGCCATGGATAGCTAAAGCAATCTTGAGCAAAAGAACAATGCTGGAGGTATAACATTGCCTGATTTCAAAATCCACTTCAATGCTATAGTAATCAAAACAGCATGGCACTGGCATAAAAGAGACATGTGGACCAATGGACCAGAATAGAGACCTCAAAAATCAACTCACACATTTACATTCAATTTACTTTTGACAAAAGGGTTAAGAACATACAAGGAGAAAAGGACAGTCTCTCCAATAAATGCTACTGGGAAAACTGGATAACTATGTGGAGGGAATAAAGTTGGAATGTCATCTCATACCATACACAAAAATCAACTCAAAAGGGAGTAAAGACTTAAATGTAAAAGTTGAAAATATGAAAGTGCTAGGAGACAGTGCTATGATTTTGGTCTGGGCAGTGAATTTTTGGATATGAACCCCAAAGCACAAGTAACAAAAAGAAAAATAAACAAATGGAATTATAACAAACTAAAATGCTTCCACACAGTCAAGGAAATAATCAACAGAGTAAAGAGACAATCTCTAGGAGAGTATGTTTGTAAACCATACATCTGATAATGAGTAAATATACAAAATATACAAGGAACTCAAACATGTCAATAGTAAGAAAACTACCCAACTAAACAATGAGCCAAGATCTGAATAGACATTTGTCAGAATAAAACATTGAGATGGTCAGTAGGTACATGAAAAAATATACAACCTCACTATTCATCAGCAAGATGCTAATTAAAACCCCAATGATATGTCATCTCACATCTGTTAGCGTGGTTATTATCAAAAAGACAAAATTTAGCAAGTATTGGAGAGGATGTGGAGAAAAGGGAGTGCTCGCACACTATTGGTGAAAATGCAAATTAGTACCGACATTATTGATGAGTCTGATCCACAAAATATTAAAAATAAACTACTCTATGATCTACCAGTCTCACCACCAGGTATATAACCAGAGGAAATGAAATCAGTATGTCAAAGAGATATCTGTACTCCCATGTTCAATGCAGCGTTATTTATTCACAATAGCAAAAATGTGAATCAACCAAAGTGTTCATCAACAGATCATTGTATAAAGAAAATATGATACATATGCACAATAGAATTCTGTTCAGCCTCACAAAAGAAGGAAATTCTGTCACTTGTGACAACATACATGAACCTGAAGGACATTACGCTAAGTGAAATAGGCCAGGCATGGAAAGACAAATACCTCATGATCTCACTTACATGTGCAATCAAAGAAGGTTGTTGAACTTGCAGAAATAGAGAGCAGGATGTTAATTAGCAAGGCCTGGGAGGAAGTGCAACTAGGGAGATGTTGGTCAAAGGATACAGGATTTTAGCGAGATAGGAGGAATAAGCTTATATAGCTATTGTACAACATAGCATCTATAGTTAATAACATGAACTGTATTTATAAAAATTGCTAAGAAAGCAGATTTTATGTGTTCTCTACAAAAAATGATAATGTTCTCTTAATTGCCTCACTTTAGCCATTCCACAATGTATATACTTCATAACAATGTACTGTACATTATAAGCATACATGATTTTGTGAAATAAAACATTAAGTTCAAGTGTTGTATTAAATTTTTTTAAAAAATACAAAGAAACTGTAAAATAAAATAATATCTCGTGTATGGATACTTTTACTCACTTATATGCACACATGAATTTTTTCACAAGTATATGTAAAAGTATGGCCTATTATGCTAGCGTACAATGTTGTCTTATGCACCAAATAAAATGTTAGTGCATGTTAGTGGCTCAGGAAAACATTTGACATGTAAAAATCAGCTAACACATTATTAACAAAGGTTTAGGAGTACGTACACCAGAGTTTTAACTCTGGTTGCCTCTGAGTGGTGTCAGCATGATGATTCTCCTTTGTTCGTCTCTAAGCATTTTCCAATTTTTCTGCAATCAGTATAACATGGATAAAAGAATGAACTCTGGAGCTGGTGAGCAGACTTGAACACTAACCCCTCCACTGGCTGAAGTAGGAGACATTGGACGAGTTCCTCTCTCTGCTTGATTCCTCGCTTGCAAATAGGGATAATAGTTGCAACTATCACACGGGGATGTAGTGAGGATTTGTCAGGTTAGTATACACGAAATGCTAAGAACTGTCTGCCTCATTGGACAAACTCCATTGTTGAACAATTGAGCTGCTGCCATCTGGGTTCAGTGTATGTGTAAGAGAGAGAATTTTAAAAGTGAGATCTCTGCCTCTGGGTCCTGCAAGGTGGCACCACAGCAGGAACAAGTGGAGAGCTGGTTAGCAGCTTTTTCCAGCCCTTTGAACTTGGGGTCAGCTCCATGGCCTGAGAAGGAACTGTGGACAGAAAGCCTATGCAAAAGCTGTGAGAAGGGACTCTTTCTGGCTGCACCATGAAAGGCCTTCCAATCCGGCCTGTCCTGGGACAGTCAAGAAGAACAAGGGACTTTGTGGGAACATGTATGATATGAATGTGTCCCCTAATGTGTGTTTGTTGGAGCCCTAACCCCAGCACCTCACAATGTGACTGCATTTAGAGATAGGGTCTTTAAGGAAGCAATTAAGCTAAATGAGGTCTTTGGGGTGGGCCTTAGTCCAATATGACTGATGTTCTTATAAGAAGAGGAGATGAGGACCCAGAAACACACACAGGAACACCATGTGTGAAGACACCAGGAGAAGAATGCTGTCTAAAAGCCAAGAGAGATATCAGTAAAAACTAATCGTGCCAACAACTTGATCTTGAATTTAAGCCTCCTGTACTGTAAGGAACTAAAAACCTGTTGTTATGGCAGCCCAAACAAATGAATACAACACCCTATAAACAAAAAATGTGGAACTTCTTAAAGAGGAAGAGGGTCCAAAGATATGGGTGCAAGACTCATATCACAGAGTGGGGTCAGAGAGGGCAGAGAGAGGAGCCTCCCTTAGGAAGGATGGAGACTGAACAGTCTCAGAGAAACACTGCATTCCCCCCACCCAACACCAGTTCAGACTTTACATCCTCAGGAGGGTCAACAGAGAGCACTGGACTTGGAGCCAGATAGCCCTGTGAGGCTGTCTCTGAGCTCACTCTGTGGCCTTGGGTAGTCACTTTGCCACTGGAGCCTCAGGACTGGTAAGGATTTAAATAATGATTCTTCTGAAAGTGTTTTGTCAACAAAAATAAAACAAGTGTTTTGCCACAAAATGTACAAAATTGTTGTGGTGGAGGCTGCGGAAGCATCTCTAGTACCATGCCTCTGGGAACAAGCTGCTTTTGGTGGATCCACAGAGAATGTGTTCAGGTCCCTGAGTTTATGCTCTCAGAGAATGGCCAGTCCTTGGCCTTCCTTGGCAGAGCTTGTGCTTATCTGGAATCCTGGAAGTCCAAGGGCAGGGCATGCCCAGCAGGCCAGAGAAAGAATTTAGACCAAGGCAGTGCTCACCTGCGAGTCCAAGCAGGAGGGCCAGCAGCAGGAAAGGACCAGGAGAGTGGGGCCAGGAGGCAGAGATGGGCATCCTGGAGACTTACGGAGCCTACTCTGTTCTCACGTCCGTGCTGGGGAGATCCCAGACTCTGCTCTGTGGAGAGAAGACAAGCCCTGCTTCCCTGATTCAAGAGGAAGTGGCTGCGATGGAGTAACAGTAACCAGCTTCTAGATTGTGAAACAGAAATCAGCACAGCAGGTAGCTACAAAGTGAGAAGTTAGTCAAATCCTTTATTCAGAGATAATTGGACAGGCTTAGCAGAAATAAGGCATCTTCCCTGCCTGTGACCTGTGCCCCTTCTATGTGGTCCTTCTCTCCGACTTCAGGTCTAATTGGGGGTCTTAGGCCAGGAAGAGTATGGTTGTGAACTGTGTATTAATTCCCAATATTATGCCCCTAGGATGTGGCTGGCCTGTGGCCTCATTCTGGAGCAGCCACAACCAAGAGCTACTCAGCTGGGACAGGAGGAGGGTTCAGAGGACCTGCTCAATGTTGGTGAGGATCCTGATTTGCTCCAGAAATTCTTTTCTACTCTAACCTTGTATTGTCATAACTGGTAAAAACTCAGCCCAAATTCAGTCTGTGGTAGACCTCAGCACTTTTATGCACCTTCACCCAGCAAAAGGAAGGTGACATTTCCTGACATCTCTCAGTAGAGGAAGTAGATTTATCTTAATAAAAAACTACTTTGTGGGGTGAGGTTGGGACTATGGGTTATGGAGAGAGGATAGGGCTGTGATGGGGGAGAATGTGACGGGCAGCTTCTGGGGGCAGTCACATCCATTTCAACACTTTGTTCTGCACACAGAGCACCTAGTCCATTTACCACTGTGTTCAGATGGGAACTGTAGAGAGAGGAAAAACACATGTCCCAAAGAGAGGGTGTGCTGAGGGGTTGAGCAAGTCAATGTGCCCTTTGAGGTGCAGATTTTTTTCTTATACTGGGAAAACAGATCTTTCCCTGCATTGTGTTGTGAAGATTAAAAGAGATAACGACCATACCATGTCTGAAACTCAACATGTGAAGAGAGGGAAATTAAATATAACAGGTTGCTAATTCATGTCAGTTGCTCACCAGTGATGTTTTTCCAGTTCTCTGGACCTGCTGGACCCAGCTTTTTGGTATACTAGGACTACTCCTGCCATTCTGAGCTCAATTGCTCTTTGTGGGATTCTCTGCATCCTGTTCCTTGTTAGTTCATGGGGATAAATTCCTTCTCTTAGAATTTCCAGTTGTGTAAAGATATTGACTCTAGCACTATTATAGCAGGGGACTTGAATACCCCACTGACAGCCTTAGATAGATCTTTGAGGCAAAAAATCAACAAGGAGATCCAGAACCTAAACTTGACACTTGACCAAATGGACTTAGTAGATACCTACAGATTATTCCACCCAACAACCACAGAATATGCATTCTACTCATCACCACATGGAACATACTCCAAGATCGATCACATCCTTGGCCATAAATCAAGCATAAGCAAATTCCATAAGGTTGAAATCTTGCCATGTATATTCTCAGACCATAGTGGAATAAAAATAAATATCAACACCATTTCCCCAAATCCCACAAAGACATGGACACTAAACAGCATGATGCTGAAGGACTACTGGGTCAACACTGAAATCAAAGCAGAAATTAAAAGATTCCTGGAAACAAATGAAAATGAAGAAGAATCTTACCAAAACCTCTGGAATGCCATGAAAACAGTTCTAAGAAAGGAATTTGTATCTCTGTGAGCACACATCAAGAAAATGGAAAGATTAGACGTGGAGAGCCTAACAAACCACCTAACGGAGCTGGAAAGAGAAGACCACCAAAGCCCCAACTTAGCAGAAGAATCCAAGTCACCAAAATAAGAGCCCAAATATGGGACATAGAAGACAAAAATATCATAGAAAACATCAACAAAACAAAAAGCTGGTTCTTTGAAAGAATTAACAAGATTGATGGACCCCTAGCCAGAATGACCAAAAAAAAAAAAAGAGAGAAAAAAGCCCAAATAAGCCGGGCTTGGTGGCTCAGCCTGTAATCCCGCACCTTTGGGAGGCTGAGGTGAATGGATTGCCTGAGCCCGCGGGTTCGAGACCCGCCTGGGCAGCAAGACCTCATCTCTACAATAAATCAAAAAATCAGCCCAGCATGGTAGCGTATGCCTGTAATTCCGGTTACTCGGAAGGCTGAGGCAGAAGGATCGCCGAGCCCAGCAGGTCGAGGCTGCGGTGGCCAGGAGTGGCCACTGCACTCCAGTCTGGGTGACAGAGTGAGACTCCAACTCAAAAAAAAAAAAAAAGCCCAAATAAACACAAACAGAAATATAAAGGATCAAATCACAATTGACTCCAAACAAGTACAAAAGATTATCAGAGATTGCTCTGTGGAAACAAACTTGATAACCTAAATGAAATGGAGGACTTTCTGACATCACACAACCTCCCCAGGCTGAAACAAGAATACATTGAGACACTAGCTAGACCAATAACAACCCAGGAAATTGACTCTCTTGTGCGAAAACTACCTACAAAAAAAAAAAAGCCCCGAACCGAGCAGTTTTCCAGCAGATTTCTACAAAACATACAAAATGGAGCTGATACCAATCCTATTGAAAGTATTCCAGGCAATTGAGAAAGATGAAATTCTCCCCAGATCATTTTACAATGCTAGCATCACACTGATACCCAAACCAGGTAAAGATACAACAAAAAGAGAACTACAGGCCAATATTCCTTATGAACATAGATGCAAAAATCCTCAACAAAATTCTAGCAAATTGGATCCAAAAACACATCTCAAAAATCATCCACCATGACCAAATAGGCTTCATCCCCAGGATGCAGGGCTGGTTTAACATTCACAAGACCATAAATGTCATTAAATACATCAACAGATGTAAAAACAGGAACCACATGATTATCTCATTAGATGCAGGAAAAGCTTTTAATAAAATTCAGCATCCCTTCTTAATAAAAATCCTCAAACACCAAGGTATAGAAGGAATACACCTCAAAATGTAGCGGGAAGACAGAGAGATCCTGACATCGAGACTATTATAGGAATATAATTACTCTGGCCAGCCAAATGGGCTCGAGGGACTAATGCGTCCAAATCGAGCCCCACAGAACAGGAGAAGCGGGGTCTTATACCTTCGTTTAGGTGAGGGAGGGGGGTCGTGTTGAGCGATTACACATCTCCTTTGGAATTTGCAAGGTGGTGTTCAGAAAAATCAGATCTTTCAAAGAACAAATGTTTTCCAGGAACTGCAGCGTTGTAAACCGTCAACTTCAGAAGAGGGGTTTTGGATAAGTCTGTGAATTAGTTACTCTTTTCCATTTCCATGAGAGCCATCAGTCTTACCATTTGGCCTTTTCAAACAAAACCAGCTTGGTGGGTGTTTAGAACTTGCCGCTTGTCTTTCAAAAGGAAATATCTTTAACTGCTACCAACCCCTCTCCTGCCACATCATTCCTCCCTTGATGCTTGATCTTTTATAGATTTAAAGCATCATTATTTTTAATTTGGTGCATTAACATTATATGGGCCACAGTTTTTCGTTCAACAACTGTTTCCACAAACGTAGAAATGGTGTTCATAATTATTGAGGCTATGCAAGGGAGGATAAGACAGGATCCCACCAATAGGACTACAGATCCAATAATATACTTAAATCGTCCCTGACCCGAGAACATGTTTTCAAATTGCCGATTTTTATGCCTTGCCAGTTTTGCACCAGGACATGGGCAAGTCTTCTAACATTGGTGGCTATATCAGTTATAACTTTACCATTATTATCTATTTGCAAACAACAGCTAGAGCCATTTCTGCCAGCAGGTAGTCCAAAGCTAAGCGGTTTTGATAAATAGCTGCACGCATTTGGGCTTGCTGCTGAGCAACAAGCTCAAAAGCCATGGCTGTTTGATTAGTTATAATTTCTAAGACAGTTTGTAACCTGATAATGCGATTTAGCATATACATATAGGCATGCGGCATTTCCGACTCCCATCTTGTGCCCATGTGCCTGGGCCATAAGTATTTATAATTTTCTGGGGTGGCCATTTGTTATTTTTCCAAACCTGGGTCCTTTCTATATTAGGAACTTGGTCGAGGGATTGAGCATTTCGTGTTTTGAGTCCTTCATAAAGAGGAATACCTAGTTCATTCCCCCTTCGGTTAGGCAGGAGGAAAAATCCTGGCTAGATTATTCCTATGGTACATGTGCCTTTCCATAATGCTGGGAGCTGGGCATATGCAACCTTTCCATATGTCCAAAATAGCCCTTTAGTACACTGAGAAGATTTAGTTGCATAAGCAGATGCTCAATACCAAACAGGCCTTGTTGGCCACCAGAACAAACTCCTGGCTGGGATGAATAATGATGGAAAACTCTTATGTCTGGCCATATAGTCTCTATACACGTACATGCTGGGTATGTGAGGGAAGCAGTAAACACCCAAATTAGGCAGAAATACATAGAAGCACAAGAACATTTCCTATTATAAGAAAGAATGGAAATGCTAGGGAAACCCTTTTCTAATATGCTCAATTGGGACAACTCTGTTAATTCTACAGCAAATAAAGTTAGTTTTACAGCAATTAAAATGACAAACAGCTTAGCAAATATAAAGGTTGACAAAGCAAAACAATGGCTTATCAGTAATGTCCACTGAGTTCTTAAGCTGAATCCTTAATTTTCTGCCATGCATTGATCAGTCAGCCTCCAGTGTGTGTCTGAAGCAGGGCCTGAAGTATTCTCAGGCTTCTAGAGCAGGGCTTGAGAAATTTTGACTTTCCGGAGGGTCAGTTTAAGGGGTGCTGCTGAATCTGTGGTGCACTCCCAGTCCTGGAAGGCCAGTTTAATTTTGCTATATAAAAGAACAGTAAATGGCCTCCTCCAGAGGGACTTTAGAGGTTATACATTCCATTTTTTTTTTTTTTTACCCATACCATATCACCTGGCTTAAAAGAATGGGCATCAGTAGTTAAACTAATTGGAAATCATTCTCTGACTTGACAATGAATGGCATTTAGGACTGAACCTGAAGTATGCATTTGCTGTTCTAGGGCAAGACGTCCTAATTCCTTTAAGTCTTCCTGTATGCCCTTAGCAAGACGGGGTGGCCACCCATAAAGAATTTCAAAACGCAAGAAACCTGTTTACTTCATTCAAAAGCCTGTT